GAGGAGAACGAGCTGGCCCGCAAGAGATATTTCGGTAATTTCGTTCGACATGTTCTGGAGGAAGGGTCTCGGGGGATCGAACGTGCTGTTGCAGGTGACGATGAAGCTGTCGCTGTGGTAGCAGCCGGGTGTCGTGCCGAACGGGTACGGGATGCTGACGTCACCGCATCGGTCGAGGCAGCCGGGCTTTGCGACGGGGTAGTTTGGTGATGTTGTTGAGGTTACTGTAAGAAGAAGCATTGTGAGAGATGTTAGTAGCTGGATTTGTAAGGCTGGAAATCCCCCCATTGATGAATATCTTGGTTTTGCTTCACTTCTTTCTTTTGGTTTTTGAATTTACTTACTGGTTTTTGGTTAAGTTTGATTCTTTTGCTTATATAGTGTGGGCTTCAGCTTTATAGTGGGAAATATGATCTTTCTTAGCATGCCATGTTTGTGGGGTCCAGTTTTAAATAGGGATGGACAGAAAGGCCAGTGTAGGGCCATATTTTCTGTTATAGGTTTAACACACTCAAATTCATGTGCAACACGATTTTTCTTTTTTTGGTACAATCATGTGCAACACGATTTAATTGTTGATTGGATCAAACTAGTTATATTTGCTTCATAACAAAATCGATAGTTTTTTTTATAGAATCTGATATTATAATTAAAAAGTATAAATATTTGTTAAAAAATGTATAATTGTCTGACCGTTGTACTGTACTAGTCCAACAGCAGTAATGGTGGTTAAATATGCACACTTAATAGTTAAATCTTCTATATATAATTTCAGAATCTGCTAAGCCGAGCCTAAGTGAGAGAGTCGCATACTTCAGAATCTTATTTGGGAAAAAATTATGCTTCGTTTTCATAATACTTTGACTCACATAACTCTTAATTTGTTTTGTAAACTTACTTACTGCTTTTTAATTATATGACTAATATAGCCCTAAAATTTAATTTTAAATCTCTCACTTTTCCAAATTGAATGTTACTATCAAAACGATTAATATATAAAAATTTTATACATGTATATTAAATTTTTTTATATACAATATATTAAATTAAACATGATTTGATGAACTTTGATTTGACATCTATATTATACGTATGAAATAATTAAATAGTTTTATTTTTATTTATAATTAAATTTAAATTATCTATTAACAATTTAATATTAATTCGAACAAATATAATTATTTAAACTAACTTAACTTCAACGTAGTTATCTGATAAATTAAAAAATTATATTATATAAGATGGTAAGCCAAGTAAGTGACGGTGCAAATTTAAATATAAATAATCATATATTTTTAAAAATGTATTTAAAAACTAAAACAATTTTTAAAAATTTATTTAAAAATGTATTTAACAACTAATACAATTTATATAATAATATTTAATTTGAAATATAATTTTTTTAACAAATATCAATGCAATACACGAGTATTGTACGCGGGTATTAATTTTGAAAATACGAATAAATGGACGGTTCACTTTCATTCACATGGATGCTTTGGAGCTGCACCTCACTACAACTTGATTAATTTTAGTACACAATTAAAACAAATTATTTTTTTTGTCATTAGATGTGTATGGGATTTATGAGAATGAGGAGCAGCCATTTGGTTTGTTAATTTCCAAGCAATCTCCTACTAAAGGGGAGTTTCTTTTCAAAGTTTTCATCGGGTCAAGGTCTCTTGTTTTCTAAAACTGGTAAAATGCACACGTGGTGGTATATTTTTTTGGTCAAATTTAGTTTTTTAACTATGAAAAAATAATAAATTTAGTAAATATGTTATTGCAAAAATAATTTTAAATAAAAATAAATTAAGTTCCTACCGTGCACATTTGGTGTGCAAACAACCTCTGTCCGGTTCGCACGACTTGATATGCGTTCTGACCTACTCATAGATCTGCAAAATGGGTCGTAAGGAGTTCCTGGCGTTAGTATCCGGACAATCAAGTCAGTCCACAATGATGAAAACGATGAACAATTGATATAAAGTTATATAAGTATTTAGAGTGTGTAAAGAATGTAGAGTGTAAATGGATATATCTCACCCCTTTATATAAATGTGTTACTTTGTTGTCCAAGACTGCCGGATGAGCTGCCCAAACTACCCTAGTTGCCCGTTCGTATTGCCAAATTTTGTTAAGTCATGTGGTCATACCCACGTGTGGTTCTTAATCTAATATATTCCTTCTTAGTATTTATCATTAGACGGTTATATCGTGCGACCTACCCGACACGCCTCGAGGTAGAGTGTTTCCTGAGCTAAGTTTGTATGCCATGCTCTTCTGGTCGATCCATCAACCAGTCATGTTTTCAGGTCGAGTTCCAATCAGGCCATCCAAGGAACCTAGCTCGACCTATGGGTACTCTTTGGACGTGCAACGTTCTCATTGACTTGAGGATTATTCGACCTGTAACTTATTCGATCTTCATTCGACCTACCGGTTTCACCCATTTCGGTCAGCTAGTTTCTCGGGTCAAGTCGACCCAGTATGAGACAAAGGTACATAATGATGTTTTAATATAAAGGGAAAGAGATATCATATTAATGTTCCATTAATGTAAAATATATGAAAAAGTAAAATGAATAAAAAGAAAACGAAATATATATTAATGTTACATAAAGGTTTGATTATTTTTTAAATAGTAACTATTTCCCTAAAAAAAAATCTATTTACTATTTTGGGAAATTAATTTAACAATTTATGGTATATATGAAATGATAACTTATGAAAATTGCGACTCATTATTTAAGGAAATAATTAAGCTATATTTTAAGATACCTTAATTATTTAAATCATGTGAATTAATTAATATATGGTATAAAGTGGACGAATTTATTTTTGGTATTGATGATTATTTATATAGGAAATAAGTTAATCAATATATAATATAAAGTGAGCAAATTTATTCAGCTTATTTGATAAATGTTTTTTGGTAGGAAATTTGTTGAAAAATAATCAATATACAATGTATTTTCTTTTCTTTTTTTCTTTTTTCTTTTCCTTTTTTTTTTTTTGTAAGGCCAACTAGTACAAATCCCGTGCGATGCACGGGGTGCACAAAATTAAGGCTATTTATCAAATCTTATAGTTATATAAATGAATAAAGAAAAATGTACGGGATATATATAGTGCGTGACCTGTAATAGGCCAAAATGTGAACACGAGTGATGCACGGGGTGCATAATTTTAAGGTCATTTATTAGTACAAAGTCTGTGCGATACACGGGGTGCACAATTTTCTAGTATGTGTAATACAAATACATACCGTATGTACAGGACAGAAGCACTAAATAAGTTATTTCCACAAAGCTTGCCCGATAAGTAGCTCCTGAACACGGGTGCACAATTTATAGTACGTACTATAAAATCAGAACAAATTTCCATACAATTAGATAATAAATTAGATAATAAATAAAGCTTTTTTTATTTTAGTAAAGATTTTACGTACTTTTTTTTTACTTATCGGATGTTATGAGATTTTTTTTTGTTAAACCGATTTTATGTGATATGATACAAATACAATTAGAGGATTGAACAAAATCAGCACAGATTTTTATACAATTAGATAATAAGAAGGAATTAGATAAGGAAAAAAAGAAATTAGATAAATAATTTTGAATCTACCTTTTTTTAGTATAGATAGACTTTACGTACAAATTTTGACTTCACCGATTTTATGAGTTTTGTTTTGACAAAATCAAAGACGGACACTGAAGATTGTTTCTATTAACATTTACAATGTGTATTTCATGTTTTTTTTGGCAAAATATTCTTTTTAAGTGTGATATATTATTCACAAATAATGTTTGAAGCTACCTAAATTTTTGTAAACTACCCGTAAGGAAAATATGTCTAAAAATTCTTCATTTAACCTCCATATATATATATATATAGAGAGAGAGAGAGAGAGAAATAGAGAGAGAGCAAACGTGTAAAAAAATTATACAAATAAAATTTAAAAGTATCTAAAATATTAGTAATTAGACACGTGAAATTTAATTTTTTAAAAAATCTATATAGATAATGGATTTATATTAGTACTTAGACTTTTATTTATTTATGTTTAAAGTTGTTACGATAGATGAGGGATGTGATTTTTTACTCGTGGAGATGAAATTTTATAACTTGGGTTATGAAATTTTCTTAAACTCGTCCATATCTATGCGATGAGCCTTTTAAGCTGGGTATATAGATTTAAAATTGTAAAAAAAAAAAACTTTCATAAATTATTTGATTTGGTATTTTCGGAGAGCTTCATTAATTTAAAAGTGTAAAATAAATAAATAAAAAATGTACTACTGAAAAAGTTACAACCAATTGTATGGAGAATTAAACTAAATTCAATTTTGTAGGATGCATTAAATATTGATTAGATTTTATATGTAAAATAAAATAAAATAAAAATAACTGGAAAGTTACGTGTTGCAATATTTTATATTTAAAAAAAAATTAAAAAAATCTTCTTTTACGTATTGTATACCAACATTTTAGGAACTACATGTATATTTCCTAAATTAATATTGCATACCCAATATCTTCAAAACTAATTAAATGCTAATTTGATTTGCATACCAAAAATATTAGATTCTTTAATTAAATGCTTGATAAAAATAGTAAATCATTAATTAGAGTTGACTATTCTACATACTACATTTAGTAAATAGTTGAGCTTTTAATATAAGTATAGATATTGGTTCTTAGACCATTACCGTAACTCCCACAAAATAATATGAATAGATATTTTGATATAATATGCGTGTATCGATGTTTTTTTATAGAAAAATCTTTGGTCAATTTTTTTTTTTTTTGGTACAATTAGTAGGTCTCGATTTAATTCATTTTTTCTTACAACATTTCAAATAATTATTGTATGAAATACACTGTTCCTTTTTTTTAGCATGATAAGGAGTGTCAATTTTTTTTGGCATAGAAAACGTTATTCAACTTAAGTATTTTGATTTGGATATTTTATACAAATATAAATTCAAAATAATTAAAGAAACAATATAAGGTTTATCTTTATACTTACTATTCAAATAAGTTTTAATATACGATAAAATTTTACCAAAATAATTATTTTATGGACTCGCGTTATAGTCAAATCGAATTTTTAAATAAAAACTTTGAGATGACACATATTTTCAAACGAATATAATATAATTTATTATCACTTATGTGCAACACGACATTTTTTAAATAAACGACATTTTTATTATCACTTACTAATTTTAAATAAACGACATTTTTATGTAATTTTGCACAATTTAAATTATATATAATATTTTCTATAAATTAATATAGGTACATTGTATTACATATCGATTTCATGTTTTTAACTTATAATATTATTTAATAAGAATTTTGAATTTATAAGCATTGATGAATATTTCTTACCCGTGCATCGCGCACGTGATTCGTACTAGTAATAAATAAGTATTTAATGTAGGTTTGTATCACACATTTCTTGCAAGTTTTGCTCAAATTCTTCTTCTTCTTTAATTGTGTACAACTCTTGGGTATCTACATGGACAACCAATCTGCTAGAGAATCAAGCATATTCAAGTTCATAGAATCAACATCAACTTAACTTCAACATTCATGCAAGAATATATATACATATGTCTCAACAAACCATACTCTACTACCTAACTCAACTAACAAACATACACCAATCGACGTATATAAAGCGCGCACGCACAACAAAACGCACGAACGAGAATATTATTACATTATATGCATCACCGCAACCGAGACCAGTCGAGCATCGATCTATCTCCCTCCACCGATAACCGGGACTACAACGTGATCCTTTATGCTATCAAACCCGACACTATTATTATCACCAAGCGAAGACTCCATCTCCTCTGCTTCGCTTGCCTGCTCGACAGTAACCCAATCGTGCTTTCTCCGGACTCTAATCACTCTCTCCAATTCCATCGACACCTCCTTCATACTCGGCCGCTCATCCCCTCTCACATTCAGACAGCTCCTCGCCAGCTCAGCAACTTCTACAATGCCTTCATCCCTGAAAGCAACAATTTCGAACACCCGCTTTTGTTTCATCGCGGAAAGAAAATAATTCGCCAGATTCCTCTCCTCCTCGGGCCTCTTGTAGCTCAACACCTTCATCCCCGTTAGCAACTCGACTAGCACGACTCCAAAACTGTAGACGTCGCTTTTCTCGGTCAGCTGGTTCGTCAGCATGTACTCCGGGTCCAAATAACCGAGCGTTCCTTGGACAACTGTTGACAGTTGTGTATGGTCTAACGACATGAGCTTCGAGGCTCCAAAGTCGGACACTTTTGCCGCAAAAGTCTCATCGAGCAGAATGTTCGCCGATTTCACGTCCCTGTGTATGATGGAACTCGAGGCCGACGAGTGTAGGTACGAGAGCACGCCAGCTGTCTCGGCAGCGATTTTAATGCGCACGTCCCACGCCAGCTGCCGTCCCGCCGCACTGTCGTTGTGGATGTGTTCGAAAAGTGTGCCGTTGCTCACGAACTCGTATACTAACAGAGGGACGCGCGTCTCGAGACAGCAGCCGAGGAGTTTGACAACATTCCTATGGTTGATTCGGGTCAGGACAACAACCTCGTTGATGAACTGCTCGATTTGGTTCCGATCGACTTCTTTCGATTTTTTTACGGCCACGATTCTGTTTTCGGGCAAGATGCCTTTGTAGACCGTGCCGAATCCGCCTTGTCCGATTATCATGCTGCTGTCGAAGTTTTTCGTCGCCTTTTGCAGCACGTGTGAGCTGAAAATCGTGGTTGTGTCGGAAGAGGACAGTTTATCCTTCAGCAAAATTCCGCCGTTCTGCACGAAAAACTTTTCTCGCATTTTGAGCAGCCTTCTTCTCTTGAGTAGCAAATGCAGCCAGCAAGCAGATAGTAGGAGAAGAATCGCCCCTGAAGCAATACCTGTTTTTATCATATTTCGAAATATTAATGCGAAATCGGATGACATTAACTCGAGCATCTCGGCACGAGAGGACGAGAGATGTATAGTCTAAAATTAATCAACCTGCAGCAAGTTTGTATGCGAATGATTCGTTGCGCGTGCAGCCATTTCCATCATGTCTTCCATCGCCATTGTATCCATTGGGACAAAGACATCTAAAACTCCCTTCGAAGTTTTCGCATCGATTTTCGAAGCAGACGTTAAGATTATCGTCATTGCATTCATCAATATCTGCGAAATGAAATCGAAAAAAAACACACACACACATTTACCCTTTCTTACGTTAAGATCGTCATTGCATTCATCAATATCTGTGAAATGAAATCGAAAAAAAAACACACACACACACACACATTTACCCTTTCTTTCTCTGTTTTTCGACTTATATTATTACAATATATAGTGTTTTTTTATTTTATTACACATACCTTCACAACCATTAACTAGGTAAGGATTCCCATGATAACCTTGGCTGCAATTACACCGATATCCATAACCATTACTCGGCTCGTAACACTCCGAATTCCGACTCTTGCAAGCATAACTAGTATCGTTCGTTCGGGCCAATTCGCAAGTCTCGTTCCCGGCAGCCCAATCGATCGACATTGGCAGCCTCTCCAAATGTCTCCCCCCCAAATTCGTTAAATTCTCGGGAGTATTCGAAAACGCGCCTTCTTCAGCCATGAAAGCGTAGCCGCAGTACGTATCGTTCGGCTCGAGGCTGAGGTAAGCGAAGCTCCCGAAAAGCAAATCGACTCTCCCGGCCATCACCGAATCAGAGACCGACACCTGGCAGAATCCGGTGGGGCTGGGATCAGACGCGTTGCGGGCGGCGGTGCAGTTGGTCACGCACCCGGTCAACCGTCCCTGGTCGAGCCCGAAGCTGGCGATGTAGCCTAACATATAGCAGCCGACGAGGGAAAACCGGTTGACCGACGTGTTGACGGTCAACTGCTCGGGCAGCACGATCCACGGGTCGTGAATCGATTGGTTTCGGCTGGCGTTGTAGCAGGCGTGCACGATGGGCTGCAGGGCGGTGAGCTGGCCGTCGAGGGATATTTTCGTAATTTCCATCGTCGTGTTGCGGAGGAAGGGTCTCGGGGGGTCCGAGTTTTCGAGCGCCGTGGTGGTGTTGCAGGTGATTGCGAAGTTTTCGGCTCGGTAGCAATCGGTGTCGTCCCGAAAGGGTATGGGATCGATACGTCGCCACATCGGCTCGGACAGTCAGGCTTCGCGATTGGAAACGATGTCGTTTTTGTGGTTGAGGTAATTAGTGTAAGAAGAGTTGTTAGAAAAAACATTATGGGATGGATCTGGTACTGCAAATCTTGGAGTACCATGATCATCATATTCTAATATTAATCTCTTTTTGTTTAGTTGGATGGTTGTTTGATTTGATGAGATGAGGTATAAGTAGTTGTTTGTGTGGTCAAAGGATGTAAGAAGGGTTGACTTGGAATAAGGTTCAGTAGTGTGTAAGCAGTAAGCGCACGGCTTTATCAAGTAATTTCAGTAGAGTTTCCATGTTCATATATATGGTTCATTTGAGTGCTTGATTTGCTGTGGTACTGTGTTTTTTTTGGCTTCATTCATCAACTTTTCTACAGGACACACAGTGACAGTGGTTTTGGACCTCATGACTTTTCATCACGTTTTGGTCTTTATACTGCGTAGCGTAAATAGCGTTGCGTGTTGCATAAGCGATTTGAGTATAAAAATTCATTTATAGAAATGTTGTAAATATTTTTGCATATAATAAAACTGGATGGTTGATTCTAAAAATCATCATAATTTTTTAATGAAATAAAAAATAACCTCTAAAAATTATTTCTCACAAATATTTAATGTAAAATATCATAATATAAATAATTAAATAATAAAGCAAACATACTAAAAAGTAAAAATAGACAACGAAAATATAATGGGGTAAGTCACAGTTTAATTTTAAGTAGATGTATTTTATTATTATTTTTATTTAACTACAACTTAATACTAATCACTATATATGAATTTTTTTTTATTTAAATGTTAGATATTAAAAATTAAAATGACATATTAGAAATTGACTGTCAAGTATTGCACTGTTAAAATTAAGATTTTGCATTTTCAAGTTTTTAATTTAAATCAATATCAAAAGTTTAGGATTTTAGTTGTCACGTGAAATTATGACTCTAATCCCAAAAAACATGAGTTTTGAAATATTTTATTATTTAAATGAAGTTACAGAAATACAGCGCAATGTCGCGCACAAGTGTGAAATAATGGACAATAGCGTACAAAACGTGTTATTTCAGCATTTCGCATAAGCTTTTCGCGAAAAACGCTAAATATATAAAGTTACGTCGCATTTTGTAGAAAAAAATGCTACATAACTAACTATTTAAAACAATGGTTGCAACGTGTTTAATAAATACCGTATTATCGCGGGAGCTGAAAATTCAATAGCTCAACATATTGAAATATCTTTTGGTATTTAAACTTTGAATTGACATTAACAGACAAAAATTACATGACTAATGAGAAAATTAAAGCGTTTGTTATTTGTTATTGTATTATACGATACAAGATGTACGACTAGTCTGCCATTTATTTTTATTTTTTATAGTTTGTCCATTAATTTTAGTATGTTAGTCACATATTTACATGATGAATGATGAGTGGATAAGGCTACCTCGAATACTTATCTCTATTGTACTCCAATGTAGAATTTACTATACGAGTAAAAGTAAAACAAAAATCAAGTTTTATGTACGTTCTACATTTTACTTTACACCAAATATTTTCTTATTATCCCTATTATTTTAAATTATTTTAATGGCAAAATCTATATATATATACAATAAGATTTACCATTTTTTTAAAAATAGTAGGTCAATATCTGGTCAACACTCATTGTGCATTTATTGCTTTCTTTAAATGGATTTTTTTTTTAATTCAGCTTACAACATTAATTCTCCTGCAATGTAATAACATGTAAATTGAAAGCCCAAAAATATCGCTGCAATCCTGCAATCCGTATTAACGTGTAAACTGAAAGCCCAAAAAATCTCCTAATGATTTTTTCTTGGAAAGAATTCAAATATGTGAGAAGATAATTTTTTGGATACCATGGCAACAACAAAGTCTCTTATTAGGAAGGAATTTAGTTGTTAATTAAACTATTTAAAAATTTAGAGATTCAAATCAACAAAATCTCCTGATGATATGTTTATTTTTTATTTGGAATTACTATTTTTTTAGAACTAATTAACCAAACAATACCATTTTTTTTTTAAAAAAAAATTAAAAAATTCTTTTAATTTGATCATACTTTCCCCTTAAAAACGGCCCATCAGAAATTTGAATATATACCCTATATATTTTCAACATGCTGAACCGATATTTAACACTTTACACGCATCTATAAAAGTACAGTTTCAGAAAAAAAAAAA